TGCTACCGCTTGAGCCACATCCCAGCCCCCTCAATTTTGCTTTTCTAACACAAAAGCAATATAAACAATATGTAAATGAATTACTTTGGGGGTTTGAATTTCAAATGATTTTTGTGTGTTACTTTTGTTCCCCCAACCAGTTAAAAATCTACAGGCCATTCCTAACTTARATGTACAGGCCTCATCAGCCCAGAGGTTGAGTATACCTCTCCTGCTCTAGACAGGCCTGAGAGGTACAACTGCTGGCTCACAGGACATGCCCATTTCCACCTTGACTAGATRCCATGAAGGTGCCCTCCAAGGAGGTTTTACAATTATACTCCCCCCAGCAACAAATGAGTGTACCCCAGAACCTTATAAAGATGCTGATCCTAGCACCAGATGACAATAAAGAGTGAGAGGAAGTTGCCAGGAGCTCTGACCATTAAARAATACCTGGGAAGCCAGGTGCAGWAGCACACATCTCTAATCCCAGCTACTCAGGAGGCTGAGGCAAGAGGATAGCAAGTTTGAGGCCAGCCTGGGCAACTTAGTGAGAGCCTGACTCAAAATTTTAAAAATTAAAAAAGGGAAGGTGGCTGGAGATTGTAGCTCAGTGGTAATACGTGCCCCTGGGTTCCATCCCCAGCACCTCACATAYAAAAAAAGAGAGAAAAGAAAAAGAAAGAAAAGGGGAATATCTGGGAGTGGGAGGGGCATAGCTCAGTGCTCAGTGGTGGCACGCTTTCCTAGCATGCACAAGACCCTCGGTTCCACCCTTAGCACCACACACAACACAAAGAACTGCCCAGGAGAGGATGGAAGGATATTGGAAGGATGGACAGTAGGGGTTTCTGGAGACAGATCACTTTGGCCTCTAAGCTTCTAATCTACCTAGTCCCTATGTGTTGTGGCTGGTGATAACAAGTCCTTACGCTCTGGTTATTATCCTCTCCTGGGTGGGACCAAAGTCTGGATTGAGCCATTATCCAAAATGTATGCTATCTGTTTGGGAAGACAGCATAATGAGGAAAGAGCGGGCTTGGGGAAAAGCACCTACTACAAACCAACCCTGGCTCTTCTACAGACGACCTTGGTCAAGGACTTTCACGTCCCCTCTCCCTTTCTCATCTGTAACATGCCAATTGGCTGACAAAATGAAATGACAAAAGCACAATGAAAGGTGCCTTCAGGTAAGAGGTGCCCAGAAGGGCTGTGGCTGTGGCTCAGTGGTAGAGTACTTGCTAGCACGAGTGAGGCACTGGGTTCAATTCTTAGCACCACATATAAATAAAATAAAGGTTCACTGACAACTAAAAAAATATTTAAAAAAAAAAAAAAAAAAGAGGTGCCCAGAAGTGCTGGCCAACATTTTTAAGAATGCTGCCCTGGCCAGGTGTGTTGGCACATGTGTGTGATCTTGGGGCTGAGCAGGAGGATCGAAAGTTTGAGGCCAGCTTCATCAACTTAGTGAGGCCCTAAGCAACCTAATGAGACCCATCTCAAAATAAATATAAAAATGGCTAGGGGGCTGGGGATGTGGCTCAAGCAGTAGCGCGCTTGCCTGGCATGCACTGGGTTCGATCCTCAGCACCACATAAAAATAAAATAAAGATGTGTGTCCACCAAAAACTAAAAAATAAATATTAAAAAATTCTCTCTCTCTCTTTCTCTCTTAAAAAAAAAAAAATTGGCAGGGATATGGCTCAGTGGATCAGCGCCCCTGGGTTCAATCCCCAGTACCAAAACAAAAAAACAAAAGCCCGCTGCCCTCCTGCCCTCCTCAGTTCTCTTGAACCCACCCTTGACTTCTGAGGAGTTGGGCACAGATCTGAGTGTCATCCTTATGTGAAGGTGAACTAACTACTAAGGAGCAAGGAGCACAGGGGGACAGGAAAGCAAAATGCGAACAGATTGGCAGATGAGGTCCCTGCCAGTTGTGGCCACCAGAGGGCCCTCCCGCCCCAGAGATGGCCCCGCCTGGTCAGACACCCACTCTCCACATTCTGTATGCTCCTTGAGGGTAAATTAGTTCAGAAAGTGGACAGCCTGGGGTGAGGTCAGTCAGACCAGGTAGGTCCCATCCCTCGTGGGACTGAGGCAGAGCCCAGGTTGGAATTCCAACTCTGCTATCCACAATCTTGGGCAAGGCACTTCCCTCCTGGCCCAGTTCAGAGCTGGGATGAAATTGAGATCACTTCAATGCTAGGGGTGGAGATTGGCACTTTCTCCTTTGTCACTCCCAGCCCACATCCACTTCAGAGCAACACACTCTGGCTAGTAGCCTCTTCTCTGGGGCAGTGGGTTATCAGGGAAGTCACATGTCCCAACCCTGCCAATTCCAAGGCTCCAGGAACTCTGCTGTCCAAGGGGTAGTGCACTGGGTAGTGCGCAAGGAGGTGAAAGGGCAAGGTCACGTGAGCCAGAGCCCCAAAGGGTCTTACTTCATTCAGGATGGGCATCCTGTTTCCTCAGGCTCTGCCGGGATTCCAGGGGCTTAATGGAATGAGTCATGGGTGGGAGTTATTGGGGAGTTCCCAGCTAATCAGCTTGGGACAGGACAGCCTGAAACGAGGGATGGTGCCTATCTAAGCTTTGGGTGGGCACAGGAGGCAAGACCCCAGTGTCTCAGGTCCCTGTCCCTGCAGGAGTTTTGGAATAAGAATGGGGACAACTAGCTTTTACCTTCTCTTTTAGAATTTGATTTCACATTTTTACAGTTTATTGTGTGCCCCCCATAGCAGAGTCATAGTTGGTATGTTCTCCTCCATGATTTGACCTAAGACAGTAACACAGTTAGGGGCATGAAATAAGAAGAACAGCTTAAGTTTCTAAATTATGTCTCTTTTTTTAAAAATATTTTTTGTTTTATTTTCTAATTTGTTCTAATTAGTTATACATGACAGTAGAATGCACTTTGACACATTGTACACAAATGGAGCACAATCTTTTAGAATTTTTACCTAGGGTAAAGCGAGGGGCAAAAGGAGCTGCCCAGCACATCTGCCAGAGGGAGGGAGGCAGCGTCAGGTCAGCAGCCTGAACAGACTCTTGCCTCCAGGGCTCTGACCAGCGCACAGCCTCCTGATGAAGTTCTGTTCAAATACCCTGGGGGCAGTTTAGGCCTGGGTGGGGCTGGAAGGGGGAAGAGAGTTTGAGGGGGACTAGACGTCAAAGAAGGATCAGAGATTCCACAATTTCACAAAACTTTCGCAAACAGCTTTTTGTCCACCCCCCCCTGCATTGTCCTGGACGCCAAATTTGCATAAATCCTGGAAGTTATTACTAAGCATTATTAGTGGCAGCCCCAGGTAATTTCCTCCCAGGCCTCCATGGGGTTATGTATAAAGGCCCTCTGGAGTTGGCCCCTGACAGAGCCCAGAGCCTGCAGCCCAGACCCCACAAGACCATGGCTGGCCCTGCTGCCCGGAGCCCCACGAAGCTGATGGGTGAGGATCCTGGCTACCTATTTGCTCTGGGTTTGGGAGGGAGTCCCAAGTGGCAGAGGGGCTGGGATCTCCTTTTTGGGCTGGGGGATTGGAGACACTTGGCCTTGTCCCCGGGAGGGAGCCAGGTGGGAGGGGACAGCGTCTCCTGAGCAGGGTCTACTCCAGCCCTGCAGCTGCTGCTGTGGCACAGTGCATTCTGGACGGGGCAAGAGGCTGTGCCCCTGGACCCTGCCAGCTCCCTGCCTGTCCCCCAGAGCTTCGCGCTCAAGTGCTTAGAGCAAGTGAGGAAGATCCAGGCCCAAGGCTCTGTGCTACAGGAGAAGCTGGTGAGTGAGACAGTGGAAGCTGCCTGAGGGTGTGGAGGAAAGAAGAGAGAGAGAGAGAGAGAGAGAGAGAGAGAGAGGAGAGAGAGAGAGAGAGAGAGATACCGAGGGAGCGGGGAGGAAAGGGGAGCTAACTGAGGGAACTGAGAAGATGTCATCAGGAAGGGGCGCAAAGAGTGAGACACATGGGGGACATGGAAGAGAATTAGGAGAGTGGAGCTGAGGCCGTGCTGCGGGTGCTGGCCAGGGCAGACGGGATGAAGGTGGAGGCCACACATTTGGGAGAAGGGCAGGGCCCGGGGCAGTCAGAATTGGGGAGCATTGCAGAATGGGGCTGAGAAACGGGGCAGGACACTGAGGGAAGGGAAGCCCAGGGAGATGGGAAGACTTGAGGAGGAGCAGCCTGCAACCTGGCCCTGGTGAGTGGTCCTCAACATCCTTCCATTCCCAGTGTGCCACCTACCAGCTGTGCCATCCTGAGGAGCTGGCGCTGCTGGGCCACTCTCTGGGCATTCCTCAGGCTCCCCTAAGCAACTGCTCCAGCCAGGGCCTGCAGCTGGTGAGTGGCTGGAGGGGAATGGGGAGAGGCGGGTCAGAGGGAGGGACCACACCCCTATGCCAAGAGGCCTGGGAACAGGGAGTGGCCCACCCCAAGCAGCACCTACCTCTCCTACTCTGCTCTCCAGACAGGTTGCCTGAGCCAACTGCAGAGCGGCCTCTTCCTCTTCCAGGGCCTCCTGCAGGCCCTGGCAGGGATATCCCCCGAGTTGTCTCCCACTGTGGACATGCTACAGCTGGATGTTGCCAACTTTGCCACCACTGTCTGGCAGCAGGTGAGCCCTGGAGGGAGAGGCAAGTGACTGACGGGGGTGGAGACCAGGTCATACTGGCCACACTACATCCTGGAAGCCATGGCCACACTACATCCTGGAAGCTCGCCACAGTCGAGAGAGCATTCTCGGGGGGCCTTGTGCAGTCAGCCACACCCCAGCTTTCAGGACTCTCCTGCTGGCCTACCTCCAGTCCCTCCAGCCAAGGGCAAGGAGTCAGGTCTCAGACCTGAGTCTCAGTTCCACCGTGAACTGCGAACTGCGTGGCTGCCCACAGTCCTACACAACAGCCCCCTCCAGTGTTTTCTCACTTGCAGCAACTCCTGCTCAGCAGAGCCTGATCCCTCATCTCTTCTTTCCCCTACAGATGGAAGATCTAGGGGTGGCCCCCGCCGTGCAGCCCACCCAGGGCACCATGCCAACCTTCACCTCTGCCTTCCAGCGCCGGGCAGTAGGTGTCCTGGTTGCTTCCCGACTGCAGAGGCTACTGGAGCTGGTGTACCGGGTTCTGCGCCACCTTGCTGAGCCCTGAGCAAAGCCCTCCCCACCCAGTGTATTTATCTCTATTTAATATTTATGGTTATTTAAGCCTAATATTTAAAGTCAGGGAAGAGAGAACAGAGCCCAGACCTCTGTGTCCTTCCCTCCATCTCCGAGTTTCATTCTCCTGCCTGTAGCAGTGAGAAAAAGCTCCTGTCCTCCTGTCCACTGGGTGGGAGGTAGATAGGTAAATACCAAGTATTTCTTCCTGGAGCTGCTCCCTGGCCCTGGCTCTGTGGGGCACTAAGAAGAGCCACAGTGAACCCTGAGGTATCTACCTTGGGGCCCCGGGAAGCATCAGAAGGTCTCTCACGTGGGAGACAAGCCAACCCTGTTTAATATTTAAACAGCAGTGTTCCCCAACTGGATCCTTGTATCCCTCTTTCTGGTCAGCCAAGTCCTGTGTCCCCTCACATCCCCATCCCCATAGGCATTATTAAGTCTCTGGAGAAACACAGGCAGCMGGGACTAGGAGTCTTGGACCTGGAATTTGCTGAACAATCTAGTTTCTTTCTGATTTGGGGGGCATGTTTGACTCCCAGTACAAGGAGCTCAGACATCCATGTCCTTGGGTTTCTTGCCCCTGTCCCCACCAAAGTCAGATTCTCCTTTTAGGACTGGGATTAGGAAGGGAGAAGACAAGGGGCAATCACGAAGGGAGTGTGATGTGAAAGGAAGCCCAGGCTCAGCCTCTACCCTGTCCCCACTCTTCATTGTAACCAGGCTGAGGATAATAAAGTGTTTGTCTCTAGTAAATGTCCTTCCTCCTTCTTGAGTCCAGCTAGTGCCTGGCCAGGGACTGGTGAGTGGTGGGAGAGGCCAGAGGGAGTGGGGAGGAGGCTGAGGAGGAGGCAGGTCCTCTAGCTCACCCAGCGCTGACTCCTTCAGCATGTACCGCCTGGGCACCTATTCTGCAAGTGCTGGGCTGTGCTAGGGACAGAGCAATAAAAAGCACACATTCCTGTCCTGGTGCAGCCATAGCCTTGTAGGAAAGGCAGAAGGCAGACAGACTGTGGGTGCTGGAGGCGAGAGAGGGCTTGGGGCTAGGGTGGGCTCACCAGGCCAGACACAGGCCGACTGGGCTGTAGCCAGGGGTCCTGAACATGTGCACAGCTGGCTGCTTTACCAGCTTCCATAAACTTGAGCCCATCCACAGAGTTGCCCACAAAGACAGAAAATGAGGAAGCCGAATGTTTGGTGACCACTTGGGTCAGAACTCAAATTCCAGGGGCTGGGATTGTGTTCAGCGGAGAGTGCTCGTCTAGCACATGGGAGGCCCTGGGTTCAATCCTCAGCACCACATAAAAATAAATAAATAAAATAAAGATATCGTGTCCAGTTACAACCAAAAAATAAATAAATAAAAACATTAAATAATAAAAAAAAAAAAGAACTCAAATTCCAGGCCTGGTTATCTCTTCCTCACAGAGCACTCGTCCAATCGGCCCTTTCCTGCCTGGCTCAGCCTGGCTCAGCCTGCGGGTGAAGAGGTCCCAGGGCAGGGTTGGGATGTGGCCAGGGAGGGCTGGGTCCTCGCCTCCTTACCACATGTGTGAGGCACACCTGTAACTGAAGGGTCTCTGCCTGGTTTGGGAGTGCCCCCCAAGCCAAGTGGAGCCACCATCCTCAAGACCTCCCACCTGTGACTCCTCAGTCACCTCCATTCCCTTCCCCACCTGCAGGATGGCTCAGGGCCTTCTGCCCCAGGCTTGGAGAGTGGGTTGTGAACAAGAAAGGGTTAAGGAGTTCCTGTCCTTATCACCCCTGCTCTTTTTTCTGAAGGGGACAGATCAAATTATGGGTCAATCAGACTGGGTGGGGCATGAGAGAAGAGCAGGACACCTTGCCCCAGCATCTTATGGCCTTCTGCCCAGGCTCCCTTCTCAGGGTATGGCTCAGGGCAGGGAAGGCGTACCTCTCCTCTCCACCCCAGTCGAGTCTGTGGAAAGCAGCTGTTCTCATCCCCTGCCCTGCCCTGCCCTCCTGAGTGGACAAGTGGGAACCTGAGTCCTGCCTGCCTCTGCACCTCTTCCTTCTCCTCCTCCCTCCTCACCACAGGATTGAGCCCCTCCCGGCCACAGCCCAGCAGGAAGAGTGCAAGGRGAAGTCCCTGTCCTGATCCAGGCAACACAGGTACTAGAGGCACAAAGGACCCGTCCTTACGGGTCCTCACTTTTATTTACAAGTRAGCTTTCCCTCAGTTACTACAAAAATATATTTATATACATATACGAATCTGTAAAGTTCCTCAGGGCTAAGTGTACTTCTGGTATGTGGGGGACACCAAAGGCTGAAGATCCAGGCTGCTCACGCTCTTCAGGCATTAGCATAAGRGAGAGGAAATCATAAAAGAAACTGTGAAAGTCCCGAGAGGAGCAAAAATCTGGAAACTGACAAAGGGTTCTCACATCATGTGGATTTGAGCAACAATGGCTCATCTTTCCTCACTGTTCCCATCTAATGCTCTTGGGCTGGAACCTAGCCACTCACTGTGGCCCCTCTAAGTCCCTCAGAGCGCAGCAATGGCTTTGGCAGCCACCTGGCGGCCCAGAGGAAGGCTGAGGTCTGTGATGGCCAGAACCACTTTGGGGCTGGACATGGCTGACACCTTCACCAGTTCTGAAACCTGCAAAGAAAGATGGACAAACGGCTGCTCACTGGGGTAGTTCAGGTAGGTGTGATGTCCCAGGAGGAAGAAGTCCCTTCCTTCTGTGAACCGCTACCCCTAAGGCTTGCCACCCTCCTCATCTAGACGTGGTACTCACRGTGGTGAAGGGCATGAACTGCAGGATGCTGCCCCGACTGCCCTGCTCCAGGCAGTCCACGCACTCCTCCATGAACCACTGCACAAACTGGGTGTGGGGGCCCGCGGTGCGGGAGCCCAGGATGGAGGAAATGAGCAGAAACAGGTTGGCTGTGTGGAGGGGGAGAACAGAGAATTCATGGGAGGATCTGAGAACAGGTCAGACTCAGGGGGAAGAAGGGACTGAGAAAGGAAGAGAAAGAAGTGCTGGAAGTGCTCCGGATGGGGATATCAGAGAGAAAAGGCAAAGAGGAAAACAGAGAGAAGAAGGGGGCAAATGGGAGCCGGGGAGACAGGAGAGATGGAGGGGAGAGGTGGGGACATGCGGTGGAGGGCAGTGAGGGGGTACTAGGAGGACCCCTTCCACGACAAGGCCTCCTGGCCTCCCCTGAGGAAAGGGGACTCCTCCCAGCTCAGCCCCCAGATTCAGACGCAGTTGGGAAGACTCACCCAGGACTCGGTTCAGAGGGTCCCTCATGTTGACTGTGTGGAGCTGAGAGGCCGAGAGGGAGCTGTTCATGGACCGGTCAGCTGTGGGACGGGGCAGAGGGGGCAATGCACTCAAAAACTGGCTCTCCCGGGGCTAGCCCTCACCTGTCCACCCACAGGAGATATTTGGTGTGTGCTGTGTTAAGAGAAGATCTTTGGATCAAGAGTCACAGTAGGGCCCCAAATACAGGGGATGAGTGAGAAGAACTAATAAGCACCACCAGGGCCAACCTTGGCACTTCTCATGGAGTACGTGGCTTAACATTCTCAATGCCCGCTTTACAAATGGGAAAACGGAGACTCAGATTTGCAAAGTAACCAGCTATAGGTCACAGGTCTACAGGTGGCAGACCCAGCATCTTTCAAGCATGTGGTTAGTTCCCTAGTCTCTGAAAGGCCCAAAGAAACTTCTAGGTTCAGGAGCAAGCTCTGGAAACAGGAGAAATTAAACACCAGCGAAGCCGCCTCTGGCAGGAAGCCTCGCAATGAGGGGAGGACAGTGAGAAGGTAATGACATCCAAGAAAGCAGGCTGGAGAGGGCAGGAGGAGCGGGAATTAGCCTCAAGTCTCAGCCTGGGCCTGCTCCAGGGCACAGGGCATGTTTCGGGGGGAAGGAAGGAAGGCCACAGCTGGTGAGTCAATGGCACAGGCTGTACCGAGGTAGTGAACTCCCTTCATGCAGTGTCACCCCTTAACCCTGTGCTAAGGAGGTTCGGGAGGGGCAGCTGTGGGGCTGGGAGGACCTGGGCAGAAGAGCTCCTTATTTATTTATTTATTTATTTATAGTGCTGGGATTGAACCCAGGGCCTCGTGCATTCGAGGCAAGCACTCTACCAACTGAGCTATATCCCCAGCCTGCAGAAGAGCTTCTTTACGGACAGAGAACAGTGACCTTATCTCTAGGGGTAAGCAAGGGAGCATCCCCTAGGGAACAAAATGACACAAGCCCCTGCCACACCCTCTGACCAGCCAGCACAGACTGGTGACCAAGGCTGTAGCTGAGGTGCAGGGCTGAGGCCCATGGCAGGGATCAAGCRGAGCAGCTTCCCTAGGGAAGAGTGAGTGCCCAGGCAAAGAGGGGCCCATGCGGCCCTCCTACACACTCACTGGGACTGGAGAGGATGTTGGCGTCGTCCTCATTGGAGCTCAGCAGTCGCATCAGCTTTGATGGCTGCATGTCGTCCAAGGGAAAGAGGCTGATGTAATCCTGGAGAACAGGAAAGTCACTAACACTTACCCCCAGTCCTCAAAGTTCTAGCAACCAGCAAAAAGGACTGGAACTCAAGTCTGAGCCCACAGTATCAGCACTGCCAGCACGCTGGTCCCTTGCCTCACCCCTCCACAGACCCAGTGAGCAGACAGGACCTCGGCCAAGGGCAGCTGGGGGTCCATACAAGCCACTTCTCCAGATCTTGACTGATCAGGCCCAACCAGCTGAGGCGAGGGCAGTGCCCATGTTTCTGACCCTWCTCCCCGAGGAGGCCTTTTTTACCAGCAAACACTCAGAAAAGGTGAATAGAGACATTAATAAGTGATCAGAGAAGCCTCTACCTCAATGTCTTCCCGGTGTCTCTTCTTTTGTCGGGAGGATGCCTGTCCCTTGTGGGAGGAGTAGGAACTCAGGGCACACCATACAGCTAGTCTGGCAAAGGGTTCCAGGAAAAGGAGGTACAGTTAGTGGGAACCAGAATAAGGTACCTGTGTCCACACTGATCAAGCCCCACCTGATAGGACATGCCCACAGCCAAGCTCCCAAGGCGGTACAGGTTGGGGTGCCTAACTTTGGGCGGCAGGGGCTGGAGGCCCATGTGTGAGAGCCAGGCAGGCTCTGAAGAGAATCCTACTTCGCCAGCGCAGTGCCGGGGGGATCCATGAGGCTGTGCCACTTGGAGGAGTCGGTGAGCAGGCCAGGCAGGATGTGGCCCAGCAGGACGAGGGTCACTTGCTGCATGTCCAGACAGAAGATGGAATAGAGCAGCTCCACTGCCCGCAGCGTGTGCTCCTTCCGAGTCTCCTTCAACAGCTCCTGATGGGCAGGTGAGCCGGGTGCTGAAGAGCTGAAGGCCTGACTCTGGCACCCAACACCCCTACCACTCCTGTGGGCTCTCTGGGCAGGTACGGGGGCCACAGTGCTTTATTCCCCCACCCCCATCCCATAYTCAGTATTCCCAGGAGGCTGCCCAGCTCACAGTAGCTTCTTTAAGAGAATCCTAGCCAGCCGGGCTGGAGGCTGGGTCTCAGGCTGAGGACACCTGCCCACCCCAGCCCACACCCACCCAGCCCAAGTACCTTAATCAGGTTATTGCAGAACCAGTAAACACCTCCCATGTGCAGCAGGGTGTCGAAGATGTGGATGGAGCGGCTGTCCACCCAGCCCTTTTCCAGCACCTTGGCAAAGATGTCTGTTAACACCTCCTTGATGGGCCGCTTGGGGGGCAGCAGGTTCCAGTAGGGCATTGTGTCCACTCCCGTGGATGGGAACTTGATCTGAGTGGCTGTCTGCTGTAGCACATCTGCACACATGTGCTCCAGGATTGAGTTCATAATCACCACTCTGCAGGGGCCAGGGAAGAACATGCAGGCCAGACTTGGGTTGAGGGAATTAATGCCACTCTGTGCTAGTGGAAGAAACACCCCATAGCCCCGGAACTGGCTGGGCTTTCACCTGCTGGGCACAAAGCCTAGTAAAGGTACCAGGCAAGAGCTGGATCAAAGATGGATCTAGCAATATATTTATATTTTCTCTGCCTTCTCCTTCTTCAAAAGTCCCCATCCCCCAGGTCTGGATCTTGCCAACTCTCTGGAATAAATAAATACAATCACYTCCCCCTGGGCTGAGTGCTTGGTGGGGGGGTCCCCACCCAGCCTTGGCCTCTTCCCAAAGTAAACTGTCACTTCCAGGAGAGGCCCAACTCCTGCCCCACAGGAATCTTCCCGGCCCTGGATAGCTGGGCAAGTACATCCGTCTATCTAGGATCCTGTCATGAGAAACTTGAGCTGTACGTACAGACCGGGGTCTGAGCACTGACTGTTCTGAGAACACTGTGCGGCTCCGGGAAGGTTCTATCACTTTCAGCTTTCATTTTTTTWAATTTTTTTTTATTTATTTACTTTTTTAATAACAGATGTCCTGAACTATGAGTGAGAGAGAGAGAGAGAGAGAGAGAGAGAGAGAGAGAGAGAGAGAGAGAGAGAGAGAGAGAGAGAGAGAGAGAGAGAGAGAGAGTTTCAATATTTATTTATTTTTTTAGTTTTCGGCAGACACAACATCTTTGTTGGTATGTGGTGCTGAGGATCGAACCCGGGCCGCACGCATGCCAGGCGAGCGSGCYACCGCTTGAGCCACATCCCCAGCCCTCACTTTCAGCTTTCAGAGCCACTTTTTTCACCCATACAACGGAGCCACAGATCCTCCCTGCTCTTTACCAAAAGGTCTTAAGGTGCTTAGGATGGGTGACGGCACAGCAAATATTACATGACTTGTTGAGGGGAAATGAGGAAAGAAAGGAAAAAAGAAAGGAGCAAAGGAAAGCAGGTGTGACTTCATAGAGCCCCTGGAACCTCACTTCAGCTAGATCTCCTAAAATATCCTCTACAGCTGTCTTGTGAATTGTCACTCAACACACATTCACAGCCGCAAGAAACAGAAGTAACCCAAGTGTCCACAGAGGGATAAATGGGTGATCAAGATGCAGTATATCACGTACAATAGGATATTACTCATCCTTAAAAAGGAAGGAGATCCTGTCATATGCCACAATATGGATGAATTTTGAGGAACTTATGCTTCRTGAAATAAGTTAGTTGYGAAAGGGCAAATATTGCCTAACTCCAGATATGAGGTATCTAAAGTCATCAAATTCATAGACAGAAAGTAGAATGGTGGCTGYAGGAGCTGGGGGAGGGAAGCTGTTGTTTAGCRTACAGAGTTTCAGATTTGCAAGATAAAAAATGTTCTGGAATCTGTTGCACAATAATGTGCACAGAGTTAACACTACTGAACTGTACTCTTTTTCTAAAAAATACTTTTTTAGTTACACATGAACAGAATGTCTTTATTTTGTCTACTTATTTTTATGTGGTTCTGAGAATCAAACAGTGCCTCACATGTGCGAAGAAAGTGCTCTGCCACTGAGCCCCAGCCCCAGCCCTGAACTGTAGTCTTAAACTTGGTTAAGATTAAATTTCCTGTCATGTGCTTCTTGTCACAGTTAAAAAAAAAAAAAAAGCCAACTAATCAACTTATTGGTTGACTACATGAACCAGAATCACTGAGTTCAACACAGCAGAGGTCACCAGAGAGGTCACACAAGAGCAGAACATGAAATAAATGTCACAAAGAWCGGTCGGGGAAGGCTGTCAAATCCACAGATGGCTCATAGTTCCTCGAGAGCGACAYAGCCAGATAAGCCCTTTGCTTTTCTACTCAGTTAGTTCTCTAGAACTTGAGCCCTTTGAGGGTCTGAATCGTAGCTGTTTGGGGTCTCCATCTCCACAGAGATGCTGGATTAAAACACTGCTGGCATAGAAACACACATTCAATGTTTGCTGAGCCAGCTAAATAAATGTGTGAATAAGAATTGGTGGGGAGAGGCTGGAGTGGTGGCTGGCACATGTGAGGCCCTGGGTTCAATTTTCAGTACCACATACAAATAAATAAATTAAATAAAGGTCCATCAATGACTAAAAATTATTTTTAAAAAATATCATTGACTTTAAAAAAAAAAAAAGTATTGGGAGGGAGCGGGGAGGAAGGACGCAGAATGTGAGCAAGTCTACAGCCATATTACCCTGAATGTTCCTGATCTCTGAAGCTAAACAGGGCCGGGCTGGCTAGTACTTGGATGGAAGGACCTGAGTGAGAATGGAAGCCAGTGAGGGCAGGAATGAGTGGCATGTTGGGGAAGGTAAGAGAAGGATGTCCATTACTGGAGGTGCTGACTTATCACGACATACCTGCAGGGTATGAGAAGGGCAGAGACAGTTTACTGACCTCTCATTGTAGAACTGCAGGGTGTTCTCACTATACAGTGGCCCTGCCAGCTGGCGGATCATCTGCAGTGACTTCTCACGCTCGTCCAGCCCCAGCATCCGGACATGGGCCACCAGCCAAGCCACAGCACACACGGCYAGACTGCATACCTTTCCCTTGATATTATCAGTGATTTTCTAAGAGGAGGGGAAAAGGGTGACTGGAATCGCTCTCTCCCCTGCCCTGCCATCATTTCCCCAGCCTCAGTTGGCAGCTGAGTGCAGCAGGTATAGTCTTAGGCCACAATCCACACCTCTTTCTACCACAAGTCTGACTTTCCCAGAGCCACCTGAGTGAGAGCAAGTGGCTAAGACTACCATTCTAGGGAAGACTGATGGCAAAAACTCCAGATTAAAGATCTTCTTGTTCTTAGGAAATAAAACAAGCTATCAATGTCTGACTCTAGGTCTCAGGGAAAAGAAAACCTCATAGAAAGATGGGGCTACCTGGATGGACTCGAAGGCCAGCACTCCATTCTCCCAGGCATTGAGGATTTCTAAGATGGCAGCCGAAATGCTCAGACAAGCTTCGTGCCACTTCATCTGCCTACAAAGGGTTGGCAGTGGGAGAAAAATCACCTCAGGTGAGTACGGAAGGGCTTAGGAGAAAGGGTCTTGGCTCTATCCCACCACTGCCYTTAGAGTAGGCACCCAAACCACTAACACCAGCTTCATCTCTGAGGAGTTGTTGAGCAGGGCCACCAAGGATTCCACTTTGGTGGAGTCAGGCCGGAAGCAGGGGTGGTCAGGGTTCAGGATCTTGCCCTCYTCTGGCATGCAGGTCTGCATCCAGGTCTCAAAGAAGGGTACCTCTGCTCCTGTGCTTGACTCTGACAGAATCACCTGGGCAAGAGTGAAAGGAGAGGTCCTAGTTAAGTGAGGAGGATGAGCCTGGGATTGAAATTCTGTTTCCTGCCCCCTGCTATTTCCTTCCCAGCCTGAAGAACTAGGGGCAAACTGGTCTCAAGGGATGCAGAMAGGGCCTATGCTGCCACCTAGTGGTTGGTGTGGCTGTGGCACTAAAGTATGTGAGGCATGACTAGGGGCATCTATTGACTTCCCCCAGGGATAGGCACCTGATTTCTGAGTCCAGCAACACCAACTGGCTTGGTGAAACACATTGACCAATTATATTGTTWTGCTGTGTGTATGTACGAATGCATAACAATGAATCCCACATAACAAGGAATAATTACAATGCACCAATAAAAATTTAAAAAAGAAAATGCAATGTAATCCAGAATAAGACTTCTACCTCACACATAAATTAAGGTCTTAAGAGTCCAAAGAATTTTCYCAAGAAAATACAAATGTATTTTCCATGTTTTAACAAAAATAATGTTAAAGAAGCTATATCATCAATTAGTTGAATCAGAATAAAAATTCTGATCAAYGGCAAACAAAAAAACAAAACTCCCCAAATAATGGCTTGGGAGACTTATGGGGTGAGGGGAGTTATTGATTGGTTGCTTCATCTTTGCCCTGCCCACTTGTCATCCCCTAACCCCACCTGCAGTCCTCTCACTCACCTCTGAGCCATAGGTCTGGGCCACATGGCACAACATGAGGAAGGAGATATCAAAGAGCAAGGCACGAACTGAGGCTGTTTTGGCTGTGGAAGGGAGAAGAAGGCCAGCCCCTCAGCCCAGGGTGAAGACCCAAGGCCTGTGTCTGGATCATGAGAACAGAATTTGTCTTTTTGTTGTTGCTTTTTTTTTTTTTTTTCTTTTAGTGGAGCTAGGGACCGAACCCAGGGTCTTGTGCATGCTAGGCACACACTCTCCCACTGAGCCACATCACTAGCCCAGGATTTGTCTTAAGGAAGGTCAGGGACCACATGGTTCCTTCAAAGCTCTGAGGCTCAGAATCCTTTTCTTGAGTCTCAATTAGAACATCATCCCTTCCTTGGAATCCTTGTGTATCCTCCAATACACAAACAAATCACAAAGCGAACAGGTGGGAGAAAAGCAAAAGGATGGCATTAGAAGATCCCATTGCCAGCATCTCCTTCACTCAAAGCTCCCAAAGCTTTACTCAGTCATGGCTCAGAGGAGGAAACCCAGCTGCCCCACAAGAAGCAAAGGCAGCCCCTCCCTCTGCACCCTCCCTACTGCCACTGAGGTCTGCAAAGTTGACTTACTGCTCTCTCCACTGCCATGGGTGGTGAACTCATTCAAACTGTGGAAGAAATGGACAGGGTAAGAGTTAAGCAACAGCCAGCAACTGAGGCCRCAGGGCTCGGAGGGGCAGTCACTAGAATATAAACTACAGGCTAAGCTTAAAATGAGCATCATTATACCAGAAAAAAAAATTTTTTTCTATTATTAAAAGATTTTTTAGGCCTAGAAAATAGCTCATTGATGGAACAATGTTCTATATGTCAAGTTCCAGGAAAATTAAAAAAGGCAACAGAAATATGAAGTTCCTTATTAATAACTGGGAAAGGAAAAGACCTCTTCGAGTCAAGAGAACTGGCTCCTCTRTCGAGGCCTCTGGCTGGGTTGCCCTGGCCTAGCCTGTGCATCTCAAGGGAGACCCAGACCCAGGTGCCCAACTCCTACTCTGCCACCTCCTCCCTTTAGAATGTCCTCCCCTCCAAGGTCAAGGGCTCAGTCATTCTCACTTGATGAATTTCCGGGCAAAGGATTTAAGCTTCCCGGTGGCAGCAGCAGCAGCCAGCAAYAAGTCCAGGCTCTTCCCGGACAGCATGTGTCCCAGGACCCCCAGCAGCCCCTCTGGGGACTTGGAATGGTCTGCATCCATCGTCTGGGGACAGGACAGGAAGTCAAGTCCTGAAGAACATTGAAGATCCCTACCCCGCCCAGATACAGCCAGGCATATTTCCTCTCTTCACGTCTCTAATAGCTAGCATACCACCTCTGCAATTTAATCTGTCGTTCTGCCTCAACCTGGAAACCATTCCCAAAATCTAAACACTGCTCTATAATCCACCCCTCTCATCCATACTGTCATGATGGTAGTGGGAATAGGAAGCTTGGCTATTGTGTCCTTTGTCCCCCCACAGTTCTAGAGATTGAACCCAGAGTTGTTTTACCAATGAGCTACTTTCTCATTTCCTTCTGTTTTTTTTATTTTGAGTGGGTCCTACTAAGTTGCTGAGATTGGCCTTGAACTTGCAATCCTACTGCCTCAGCCTCCCAAGTCACTGGGATCCCAGGCCTACACCACTACACCTGGCTACTGTGTCATTGTGAGATGGCATCTCTGAAACACCTACATGTGAAGCTTATAGTGGTAGCTGCCCTTGCGTTCCCCCTTTCTCTGCTTCTAAAGTAACTATGACTGGAATCCAGATGAGAGAGATCTATGAGCCCTGTTTATTTATCTGGACATAGAGGAAAACCAGAAGGAAGAAAGAGAAGACTGCTGGGCACAGTGGCACACGCCTGTAATCCCAGCAGCTCAGGAGGCTGAGGCAGGAGGATCSTGAGTTCAAAGCCAGCCTCAGCAAAAGTGAGGCACTAAGCAACTCAGTGAGACGCTGTCTTTAAATAAAATACAAAAATAGGGCTGGGRATGTGGCTCAGTGGTCGAGTGCCTCTGAGTTCAACCCCTGGTACAAAAAAAAAGAAAGGGAAGACCCTGGTGGCAAGGAAAGGATGCACTCACCTTGAGAATGTTTGTGACAGTAGGCTCTGCACGGAGGATGAGCCCGGGATTAGGCTGGATGTTGGCATTTTCTGATGACTTTTGCTGGGGTGCATGTTCCCGATCTGCTGAGCTATGGCCATGACCAGTTGGCAAGAGAAGGGGRCAGGAACCAAGAGAAATTCTTCAAACACTCCCTACTCCCTAGTCCAACCCCAGAAGCAGAGGCACAGAGGTGGTGGGAAGCATACAGAAATTCTGGGGGGCTGGGATGTAGCTCAGTGGTACAGTGTTTGCCTTGTATGCACAAGGTCCTGGGTTCTCTTTTCAGCACCACCAAAAGGGGAAAAAAAAAAAACTTTGGCGTTGGGATGAAGTTTATGAAAGGGTGTTCGATACTGGAATCACTTCAATTTGTCATGAGTCATTACATTTATTTTGAAAGTTAATTTAAGATTTGTTTTGAAAATTTGAATTTTTTCTTTGGTCACAAAAGAGGGTGAGTTAAAGAGCAGCAAAGAATAGTGTAAAACCCCGGTCTGAAGTCAGCATCTTCTTTCCCCCCTGGTTTCCTGTGTTACAAGGTATGGTGCCAGTCACTTGCAACCCAGAGTTCAAACAGAAGAGGGAAAGGTACCAGCAGGCAGTCTGACATGACAGAGGGATGTCACAGGGCTCTTGAGGCAGCCCAAATGGACTTGCACTTACCGCTTGGCTACAAGGTTGGCGAAATTAGCTTCAGACAGAAGGCCCTGCTTGTTACATTCTTGGAGGAGGAAGTTTGTACAGTCACAGCTGTGAGGGAAAACAGGATGAGGAAAGTGGGCACAGAGCTAGGGCTTTTGAGGAATGGGAACAATGGGTTCCTGCCCTGTCTCCTCCCTCCTTCAGGATGAAGACAATTTGGAGTGCCCGAAGGCAGGCAGAATGACTGTGGATACTTGACAACATTGTGTCACCAACAAGGAGACAGGATCTCTTGAAATCCTTCTGACATAGAGAGCAGGGGAAGGGCCCAGACATCTTCTAGTAACAGAGGTAAGTAGGGGAGTTCATACTTGCAGCGCTGGTCAGCTTTGTCCAGCAAGGGTGTGAGCTTCAGCAGGAACTCAAAAGCACAGTTGACATCCTCAGTGAAGTCCTGCAAAGAGTCAGCAACTTCCCCTGGATTTTGGGTCCTCCATGCCTCCTGAAGCCTATGGTGTAGACTCACAAGGATACCATGCTGGGTGAGCCTCAAATAGGCTGCACCCACCACTATGCCCCAGCAGCTGGGTGGGGAAATGTTGGAGGCATCACTGCTCCCACATGTCCACTCTTGCCCAACCATCATGGGCAACCTTGCCTGTGGAGGGTCCGAACTGAGATGTGTCCTATCAGGAGCCCGGGAGTGCATCCAAGGATGCTCCCAGGTGCTCAAGCACATCCATGGGATTCTAGCCTCCCTCCTGGCACACACACTCTGCTGCTCAGCCAGGGTCTGTGGGACCCTCTTCTTGCCCTTGTTTCTCAAGGGAAGAAATACCCTTAGCTGCTCCCATCCTGCCATCTCATTTCTCCAACTCACCTTGTCCCCATGACAGTATTTCTTCAACTTCACCAAAACCTGTGGAATCTAGGGAGTGAGGTAGGAGGAAAAACAGGAATTTCAATTTCTTTTCTCTTTCACCCGCCACTGAAGGCCCCTCATTCCCTGCCCTGGACACAGTAACAGGAACATTACTGTCCTGGAAATGAAAGCATTCTTATTAAAGACCAATCTTAAAGTCCATGGGCACCCAAACACCTGATTCCCCTCACCCAAAAAGACCTGGTGACCTCTCACTTATGCTGATTCAACAAAAAAATATCATTTGCAAAAGTGGAACCCAAGCTTCAAGGGGGACCAGGACCRCTTTCTCTGACTCCCTCAGCTGCCCTGCACCAACATGACCAATGACAAACTAAACAGCACCTTGTGGCAGGAAACAACAGARCCCTGTCAAGTGGGCTAAAAAGACTTTCAGAGGAAATAATCAATTGGAACTTGTGCTAGGGACTTAGCAGGCTGGGTCTGATGCCAGCAGAAGGCACATGTCCAGCATTTCACTGTTTCTCCTAAGAACTATCCCTAGATGGGCTCTCTGTTGCTCACATGTCCCAGGTACCTTGAGGTAGGTGAAAGCCGTCCACTTGAGCTCCTCCGTGCCCTCAGGAGACTCAATAAGCCCCACAAAGCAGGCTTTCCAGATCTCCAGGACAAAAAGCGGGGTGGGGATATGCTATAGGAAGATCCAAGGGTGGAGTATAAGAGAGTGCCCTGTACCCCTTCATCCTTCTGCAGGTTCTGGGGACCAGGTTAGGTCAACATTAGGACTAGGGACCTAATGTTAAATGACAGGACTGTCATCCACTTAGTATCAGAGCATCCACTTAGTATCAGGGACCAAAAGAAAACCTATTCCTCCCAAGAAGTACCAGAAGAATCCTCYCTCCTTCCCCAAATGGCCAGCCCCCCTTAGAGAAAGGAGAGCCACTCGGCCCCTCCCACCTGCATGCGCTTCACCATCATCAGCTGCTCCACCAGGGGCTGCGTCTCACCGGTCAGGTTCATGGTGCCCTCGAGCAAGACCACCGCGTGCACAGTGGGAAAGCCAGTCTTGTGCAGCTGCTCTGAGTGCACAGATAACATGGTGGGGATGCTGAGGAGAACAGACACAGGGCAGTGTTGGGGACTGAAGGTAAGAGCGAGAGGACAGACTGGGTACCACATCTTCCCTTGACACCCCAAGGCATTTCCTCTCTCTCCCTTYACCACCTTCACCCTGGAAGCTGGGTACCTCCTAATGAGTGTGCCACACTGTTCAGCCTGGCYCCGGAGCTGGGGGTTGCTGAGATTGGCCAGGATCTCCCCAAGCTTCAAGAGCGAATGCTCAATGGCAGTCCAGGAGGCTGGCAGAGAGAAAGAAATGCAGAGCCATGATGGGAAACAAAGGAGAAACAGAGCCTGGTCCCAATCTCCTCAATCGTGGCACTCCCTGGGCCCAGGAAACCGCATAGGGAGGCTTTCTCTGAGGATGACACAGAGGTCTGGGCCATGAGGGCAGCATGCACTAGAAGGGAGTGAGCATCAAAGGCCAGAGCCCCTTAAAACCATTCCCGAGGGCCTGACTTCCAGGGGCTACACAACTGACTTCACTGACTGGCAGGCACATGTAGGCAGTGAGAGAGAAAAGTGAGGGAGGCTAGAGTTCAGCAGCACAAAGACGGAAGTGACCACAAATTGGGTCAGAAGCAGCCAATTCAAAAGGCAAGCCTTATAGTGGCCATCACCTCCACTCTGGGCAAGCTGGCATCCTACACACTACCCACCCTTCATCTGGGCTGGATGATGAGGGCTCCCCCCTTCTGAAATGCCTCAGTTATACATCCTTCATGGCTCTGTTCCCTTAATAACCTGCCCAACTGGTCTAACCCACCCATCTCTCTCCTAAATGCCTGCACTGCATATTTATCACTTAGTTATAAGTCATTTATCCTAGTTACAATTCCAGAAGGTCCAATGATGAATAATGGCACCAACCAGCCCATTGACTATCATGTAGCATGGGGTGTGKGGGGGGGAAGAAGACAAGACCTGAGATCCATTAAAAATAAATATTCATTCACTTTCCAGCAATAAACATTTATCACACGTTCAAAGTAGGCAAGAAACTGTCAGCATAGCCTATTTTGACACAGATTCTCTTTCTGGACTTTGCATTCCCAGACAATAAAACATATTTAGAGAAGTAATAAACAGACTAAGCTCTCCAACCCAGGACACTGGGTGTCACCCACTCTAGCACTTAACAGAAGACAAAAGCTCCTTAGGTGGTCCTGAGCCACCACAGTCTAAGCAAGACTATGGCCTCAAGACCCCTCAGGGATGATGGAAGGCTTCCCTCCCACAGATCTTCCTGTTCTCAGGCTCTGGAAAGTTCCAACATTTTAGCATCTGAACTTGAGTGAAGAGATGGATGGTACACAGGCCTGATAGGCACSGAGTTTAAAGGGACATTTCAGGTCATACTCAAATTCAAGAGTTATTTGCTTCCAGAAGATGAGTAATATGGAAACAAACAAGAACAGACGGTATAGTTGTCTTGTCCTCTAATTTTCTTTGCACATACGATGTACTAGTCTTGCTTCCCACTAGTGTGTAAGCTTGTTGAGGGCAGGGACCCTGCCACATGCTCCTTTGGGAGCCCCCCTCCCCCCTCCCCCAGCACCTGGCATAGTGCTGGGCAGACGACAATGCTCAGTAAATACCTGTTGGTTGATTGGCTCGGGTGCCACCCTGCCCAAGTCCCTGGGATGTATGCAATGCTTATGGGGAGAGAAAAAAGGAAGTGGGATGGTTTCAGATCCTCCTGGAAAGAAGTGGGATGGCATCCTGCCTCTCCCCTCTCAATTAAAAGGAACAGCTACAAGAATAGTGGCACAGGTAATCAGGGGACATACAGGCCTCCTCTAGTTTGGCGATGTGCAGCAGGGCCCGATTCTTGGTGCTGCTGAGGGTATTCTCCAGGCGCTGCAGGCACATGGCAAGCTGCTTCTCCCCAGTGGCTGGAGTACGGGCCTCCACTCCTTCCTGGAGCCGCTCTGCAGAGGCCGCGGTGCAGCGCAGCAGCCAGTGGAGGGCGCTGAGAAGGGCTCGGCACAGCCCAATGCACTCCTCTGCTTTGCCGTGACAGCTACCAGGAAAGGATGTGAAATCTGTCTCTGATCCAGAGGCTGAAATCTGACCCACACCAATGTTCCCCAGAGAACTCTGGCACTCCCCTACTAGGGAAGAGAGTTGGAAAGCTAGCAAAGTCCTAGGGAAGACACCGAACTCGGCTGCCTTCCACCAGACAAGATTTCAAATGAGCTATTCCAAGTAAAGAGGCATTTCGACTTAAGGGAATAAATAGAAAACATGGGGATGGGCAGGTGGGTAGAAAAAATGTGGGAATCCACAGAGTTGATCTCAGACTATATGCTAGGAGCTTCTCCTATACCTTGAGAGAATGCTGGGTGAGAATCTCGTCACCCAGCCCTTACCTCAGTCGGTCACAAAACATGTCCATGATATCCAGCAAAGCCTGAATACACAGGTCTCGGGAAAAGTCATCAAACTGTGGAAAAAAAACAATAGAGAGGTTCAAGAATGCCCCAGCCAACCCCTGGATCTCACACATAGAACAGGTGGCACAAGTAGGACTCCTGCTTTTCTTTCCTCCAATCTCAGGTTTCAGATTCAACAGCCTTCTCATATTAAAAATTGGCTTCTAGAGCTGGGGATATAGCTCAGTTGAGTGTTTGTCTAGCATGCACAAGGCCCTTGGCTCSATCCCCAGCACCACAATAAATAAATARATAGATAGATGGCTTCTACTTGCTARCCCCCACTTCCCAGGACCTCCTTTCCTGATGGTAAGGGCAGCATCCAGCTTCACAAGTCATATGAGGTGGGCCTTGCTGGCACTATCATAGCTCTCTGGCCCCTGTATCCTACCTGGCTGGTGAGTGGTTATGTTCATACCTTACTGATAGCTGTGAGAACAGAAGAGTAGGACACCATCTAGAGGGAAAGAAGAAAGAAAATATTCAGATTACTAGTCTCCTACTCAAAAGGAACAATGATGCTTAATATTACTGCAGCTCTGAGACTCTGACCCCTTCAAGAGGCCTCCTCAACCCATTAAACAATATATAATAATGCCATACATTGCCCTATTTCTGCTTCTATCAGACTCAATGCAAATGATACCATCAACATAAGCCCATAGATGAGTTTAGGGCCAGGTGTAGTTGCATGCCTGTAATCCCAGCAACTTGAGAGGCTGAGGCAGGTGGATTCCAAGATTGAACATAGCTTCAGCAACTTGTCGAGGCCCTGGGCAACTCAGCAAGACCTTGTCTCTAGTAAAATATAAAAAAGGGCTGGGGATGTGGCTCGGTGGTTGAGTGCCCCTGAGTTTAATCCCTGCTACAAAAAARGAGATAAGTTTGGGAATACCCAAAGGTGCTATATTTCATGTTCACATGCTACTTGTCCATATAAGCAAGGTTTAACTGACTACCAGTGAGTAAAAGAACCATCAAGGGCTAGG